TCTAATCAGTTTACCACTAGGGAAGTCCCCTGGTTATCTATGTTAAATATAGCCGTGTGTACATGTTGATCCCAGACTCCCAGTCTATCCTTCTCCATCCCCCATCTTTCCCCCTTGGTTCATTATCTACGTCTGTGGATCTGTTTCTGTTTGGTAAACAAGTTCATTTGTATCATTATTTCAGATTCCACATCTAAGTGGTAGTATATAATATTTATCTTTGTCTGACTTACTTCACTTAATATGACAATCTTCAGGTCCATCCATATTGCTATACACCCCATTATTTCATTCTTTTTAATGGCTGGGTATTATTCCATTGTACATACGTACCACAGATCTTTATCCATTCATCTATTGATGGACATTTAGGTTGCTTCCATTTAGGTAACTTCTTGGCTATGGCTGAGATATTTACTTTCATAATAGCTGGTAAATAGACATGGAGCAAGAAGTCTAGAAAGTCCATCCTGGCTCCCTTTGGCTTCCCCAGACATCTGGACATTTCCACACTTGGAGGTTTAACATCTGGCCTAACCGGAGAGCACCAGGGACCTGGTGGAGCCACAGAACCACCCCATGACTGTCCTGGCCTGTTCCAATCGGTCAGTGCCCTTGCTGTGCCAATGATCGTTAATTTCATCCCTGGACACTTCCACAGCAGTTTCGGGTGGAGGCTTGGAATGACTCAGAATATAAAAGAGGAAAATGAGCTGCAGAAAGAAAACTTGGCATGTCAGAGTCCTGAAGGGCTGCCTCCCAGAGCACGCTGCCTGTCAGGCTGGGAACGCATCACTTGCCTCTGTTGGTGACCCCCACAGCTGAGGCCCTTCTCTTCTCACTATCCAAAGGCACCAGCCCTAGATCTTTCTCTGATCATCCCCCAGGGCTTGAGGAAACACTACCACCTCTGCCATCACTTTCATCACCATTGCACTCTCTTCCTGGGTGTTGGATCTTCTTCTAGAAGTTGTCAGTGAAGCCCTCATGGCACCAGATTTGAAGGCAGACATTGTAAATTGCAGTGATTTTCTGCCTTCTGTGCATGGGAGCCATGAAGATGAGGCAGTGAACAAGTATCATACAACTGAAATGTTTGTGAGCGGGGTTCTGGGGCACAGTGATGTTCCTGAGAGGGTGCTAAGAAGAATGGGTCTGGCAGCCCTCGCCAGGAAGGCTAGAAGGCACAGCTATGAAGAGTGATTTTGCTTCACCACCTAGAACCCTCTCATAAGGTTTGCTTGAGCCTCTGCCTCCACGGACCTCCAATCATCTCTGAGTGAAAGAGCCATGCTCAAGGTCTCAGGCTCCAGAGGTGCTTGCCGTGTGGCCTCGGGAAAGTCACTTCCCTCTCTGAGCCTTGGCTTTTTTGTCTGGTAAAACCAAAGATTGCTCTTTCTTTCCTGAGAGAATTCCTGCTTAGTATGACACTGGTGTTTGTGAAAGCTCTAGTTGGTTAGTCTAATACCCCGAGTATCTCAGGGAAATGCAGGCAGGAGAAAGGGCAATGATTTCCATCACACAAGAAGTCCATCCCTGGAGTGAGAGTGAAGTGTGATAGCAGGCAGCTCTCACTTCACCAAAGAGCACTTCTCCCCACCCGGGATTCTCTGGTCCTTAGAGCCCTGAGATCAAAGCTCTGCCTGCTCCTGACCATGAAGAGAGAAATAAACGTGAAGAGAGAAATCTTAAGTGGGCTTCTAGAACGCATGCTTTTACTGGAAAAATAGCAAAAATCATGACCGGCCATGCCATGAGTTTTCACCCCTTGAGCTGGCGTGGCCCCTGAGTAATATTCAACTTTTCCTCTACATACTCCAAAAATATTGACGTCCTAAGAACCTTCCAGTTTATTTTACTATGGACTCTCATGCCCTAAGAGCACTGCTTCATGCTTTTTTTTTTTTAAACTTTTCTTGCTGGGTACTGAGGCAGGAAGCATGGAGGAAGAGGATTTAGGAGTCTGAATAATAATTTTTTTTAAGAAAGAAAGAAAAAGGAAATCTTATCTCTGCTGCTTCCTGTGTTTTGCTTTTGCTCAGTGGCTTCTTCCCATGGCAGCTCCCTCTTAAATATCTTAGATCCCCATCCTCCGAGCTCGGATGCTCACTATTGCCCACCACCTTCCACTTCTTCACATGATCTCAGGCTTGCTCTTAACGGCTGTTAGAGGAGTTCCTCCTCTTCAGTTCATAGATGAGTAAATTCACGATGCCAGGGAATGGAAAAGCTATTCAGAATTAAGCAGGGGCTAAACTCAGGCCAAGGCCCTTGTCAATGTGGGCAAAACGTCACTATCCTCTTGAGAACACACCAAGAAACACACCACACACCAAGAAACAGTGTGTTAAATACAGTGAGCTCTATAAGCCATCCCCCCAGAGACGATGGTGCGTGCGTGCAAGCTCAGTTGTGTCCTGCTCCTGGTGACCTCATGGACTGTAGCCCACTAGGCTCTTCTGTCTTTTTCCAGGGTATGTTCCCTGGAGAGCATTCCTTCTCTGGGGTATGGTCCCACCCCAGGGATCAGACCCATGTATCCTGCATCGCAGGCAGATTCTTTAGCACTGAGCCATTCCCAGAGACACTGGACTGTCTCCTAAAAACAGAACAGTGAAAGATGAAAACCGATGCCTGGAAAGATGGAAATCCTACCCAGGGCACTGGCTTTGCCTACCTGAAGACTGTTACTGAACATCCTTCAGACGTGTCACTGTTGAGGACAGTAACCCCCAGGAGCGGCTATTTGAGGAAAAGCCAGGCATTCTTTCAGGCTTCCCAGGTCACTCAGTGGTAAAGAATCTGCCTTCCAAACAGGAGACTCGGGTTTGATCTCTGGGTCAGAAAGATCCCCTGGAGGAGGAAACGGCAACCCACTTCAGTTATCCTTGCCTGGGAAATCCCGTGGACAGAGGAGCCAGGTAGGCTGCAGTCTATGGGGTTGCAAAAGAGCTGGACACGACTGAGCGACTAAGACAGCAAATACCAACACGGGCATTCTTTCAGACCCTGCTAGAGAAAAGCGGTGAAGATCCTCAGAAGCAGATCAAGCTCTCATGGGCTTCTGTGGACAAGAAGCATGTGCAGAGCTATTCTCCCCACTGGGTTGGCAGGTCAGCCAAGGCAAAGTGGAGAGGAGGGAGGGGACGAGAAGCAGGAGCAGCCTGGAATCAGCATTTGGCATCTCTGCCTCCACGGGCGTGTGTCCAGCGCTGGGCTACCGGGAAAGAGCAGAAGTACTCAGTGTTCCTCAATAAACAAACTTCTTAATCTGAGCAAATAAAAAAGCCACTGGGAGCCCTGACTCTCTCTGAGCGGGCCATTTTCTCAAAGCGACTCTGGTGTGGAATGCGTGTAATTAGGTACCTTCAGGGAGGTGGCCTTGGCATCACTTCCTTTAGTTTATTAACATGGAGAAAGCACCTCTCACCACACCATCAGCTTAAACTGTTGGATCCTAACAGGCCAAGCCAAGTTAATGGATGAAGTCCCTGGAGAGTCTGCAGGTGCGAGGAAGCAGAGAGCGGCTATGCAGGAAAAGACAGAGGTGTGAAAGCTGAATTTTTGTTTTGTGTTTAGCTAAATGCAATGGCAACCCAGTACTCTTGCCTGGAAAATTCCATGGACGGAGGAGCCTGGTAGGCTATAGTCCATGGGGTCGCAAAGAGTCGGACACGACTGAGCAGCTTCACAAATGCAATCTAAAAGCAACTTTTAAGATATAAATCAAATTCTCGTTGTCGTTAGCTAAGATCCTTTTTTTCTCCTGATTGTCACATTTCCAAGAAACCATCTTTAATGATTCCGCTTTTTGAATCTTACCACTGTGGCTCACCTCAGAAATTTCAGAAATGATTTAGAATCAGTACAGTAGGGGAAAAAAATATTTATTTTCTAAGGTCATTACCTTGACAGGCAAAACAAAGCATTTTTTCAATTTCATTCAGAAATACATTTAAAAAAATACATAGACCAATATGGCCTGCCCAAACGTATATTTAACATGGTAAATATAAGGAATAAACTGTTTGAATATAAATATCTATAAAAATATAAGTACATCAAAATGTAATCCAACCTCTTCCATGAGCCAATAAAGGAAAATAATTTTACTGCTTTAAAGCATCACCAATGTTTACCCTTCAATATCTCTCCACAACAACCCTATACCATTGTGTTTCCAAAAATCAAGGTAAGTAAGGGAAAGTCCTGATTCAATTGATCTTTTCATTTTTCCTTAGGGAACAGAGCTAGTGGACGACCATGAAAACGTTATATCTACTATGATGCATTAGACAGACTTCCACGAGGCTAGGATTTAGGATGGGGTTTTTTCTGGGGGGGGGAAGAGTTTGGGGAGGCAATAATTAAAGGTGGGAAATGCTTTGTCAGAGTGCAATACAGATGAGGTAGTCTCCTATGCATGAAACTCAGATTCTGATTTTCAGTAGTAACAGTTTCTTTCAGTTTTGCATTTTACGAATTAGAAAAACAAGTCTTTTTTTTTTTTTTAACTCGAGTGTTTGTCCTTCGAGTGTTTTCAATTTGTGCATTCCTTAGAAAAATCTTCTCGGAGCTTTGGAGTTTCTCCCTGAAATGTGCCAGGCGCCTGAGAGAGACACAGACAGTCCCTTCGGACCCTCTCGGGAACTCCGCCCACAAGTGGAACCTCCTCTCCGCCTCTGGCCGGAGGAGGAATCCCAGTCTGCAGGTCACTGGGTCTCTTTGCCTTCTTTGCGGGGCTGTTGTCACCCCCACGGAGGAGAGACGGATGAAAACAGTCAGCTCAGATGGAGACAAATGAAGACTGGCTGGGGGCGCTCCTTAACCTTTCCTGGAATGCTTGCGTCCAGGGTGCTGGTCCCCTGCCAGTCCGGAACAAGAAATCGTCTGAGCAGGCAGGACGCGTTTGCCTCGATCCCAGCCCCATGGGCAGCACAGAGTCAGGCCCAGGGCTCTCCGTGGATGAGGAGCTTCAGACAGGCCCCCAAATCCCGCCCTCAGTGAGCACGGTTGTAGGTCACTGTCTTATCTCTGTAGAGCTGGGCTTTCAGCTTGGCAACACGAAAAGATGCTTTGATGCTGTTGCGGATGGCCTCCAACCTATTAAAACCAGACAAGAGAAAATAAATTTTTTTTTTTTAGAAAAAATTATTCTTGGGCAAAAGAAACATCTAAAATTAGAATCTGGCACAAACAAATCTAAATCTGGATCCTCAACTTTCACCCTCAACCATGACCGCGTGCTTCTCTGCTAACCTCAAATGAAAATAAACTGCCTCTGAGGCCTAGGGTGAGGCAGGGTTCGGTGAGCAAGGAGAGGGGGTGATGCGGTCATATCTACAGGGGCTGGGAATTAAAGAAATTTTAAAGCACGATTTTAAGGTGGACTAGAGATACTTTCTTTTCTTTTTTAGCCCTATTCCAAGCACTGTTCCAACTTTGGTGGGATTGTATGGAGACACTCAGCAAAGGTTTCAAATTCTCAATCACATAAGGAATTGAAGTGGGCTTTGAGGGGGAAAGGAATTCAAAAGGAGCAGGCCTACAGGCAGAACGCAAAGCAAACGTTTTATGGCAATTAAAAACTATCATTTTTGCAGGTTTAATATTTTCTTTGGGTGGAAAGAACAGTAATATTGATTCAATAGTTGATGTAATGGAAACTAATAGAAAAAAATAACAACTTCCAAGTCAGTTCAGAAAGGGTGGTTTACATAATCTTGCCATCTGGGGAAGCACTGTGCTGCTCTCTGTCGTGTCCGACTCTCTGCAACCCCATGGATTGCAGCCCTCCAGGCTCCTCTGTCCATGGGGATTCTCCAGGCAAGAATACTGGAGTGGGTAGCCATGCCCTCCTCCAAGGGATCTTCCCAACCCAGGGTTTGAACTCAGGTCTCCCACATTGCAGGGGATTCTCTACCATCTGAGCCACCAGGGAAGCCAAGAATACTGGAGTGGGGAGCCTGTCCCTTCTCCAAGGGAACTTCCCGACCCAGGAATCGAAACCCAGTCTCCTGAATTGCAGGCGGATTCTTTACCAGCTGAGCTACCAGGGAAGCCCGGAGGGGCACTAGTGGCCTGAGTTCATAAACATGGAGACTTCAAGGTCACGTGGGAAGCGCTGAGCATGGCCCCAGACAGTAGTAAACAACTCAGAAGTCGTTCATGACCTCCTGGCCTGTGCTCAGAACACTTGGATCCTAGAATTTCTTGCCACTGGATTTCTAGGAAAAAATGCCTCTGACCATGAGAGGGAATCATAAGCTATAGGACAGATCTGAAAGCAGGATTCCTCCCCGTAGCTTGTGAATTTCAGGATGCTTAGGTTGTAGAAGGTTTATCACTATAGAGCCCCTTGTGGTATTACTCAGAGCAACCTTGTGGTATTACTAATCCAGATCCCTGCTCATGACTGATTAAAAAATAAGAAAGCTGTTGAGAATGACATTGGGTCTCCACTGAATGCATTTCCCTATTAAAAAAGTGAATAAATAAACCTGAGAAACAACATGTTCTAACTCTCACCAACCCTACCTAATGACTTTATTTTCCCTTTGGCCATTTGAATAGCTGCTATGTTTTTGAAGAATTTGATTATACATGATTTAAAAAAATAAATTTTCCCTGAAATCATTCTTAATTTCTCAGAGAAAGCTGTAAATATGTTGACTGAGAGATACAAAAACTAGACGTGACCAAATGACAGAGGTGTCCCTAGATAGATTTTGTTTGGATGAGTGGTGTGTGTGCTAAAGGGCAGCAGACCGCATTATGTAAACCACTGTTTCTGAACCGACTTGGAAATTATTACTATTTTTCTGTTAGTTTCCATTACATCAAAAAAACTTTTGAGAAGGATTCTTTGGCTCTTTTAAATCTAGAGAATATAAAGATCTCCCTTTCCTCCCTCCCCTTTATATTGTCTTCTAAGCCTTTCTCCCACAGAGGTAAGAATGACTGCAGACTATTTATAGGTGAAGGGGACCAACTGTTCGTAAGAGTCTCTTACCTTCTCGTTTTCCTTCCGGCCACGAGCTGCTGATGAAGACACTTCTCTCCGAGCTTAGAACAATCTTTTCCTCTCTTTTGGTTGTTCCAGGCTTTCTCCATGGAGTCTTGGTCCCTGTCAAAATACAGATAGAAAGGACATTTCAGCAATAGGAACTTTGGTTGTTCTCAATGTCTCTGCTGCTTTCTTCAAAACAAGACGACAGTATCACAAGAGGAAGAAGGTCAGGAGGCCAAAAAGCTGATCAAAAACAAAGGTGTTTCTACTCACCTGAGTTCTTTTCCTGCTTGGCAAAAATTCCAGCATTTCTTGTCTGTCTGACTAGCACACTGGCATCTCTTCCTGTGGACTGTCGCCTTTGTAGGAAAGAAGTCCTTTAAGGAGCGCTTGGACCTAGCAGGGCTTCCTAGTCCATATGGAACAATGTGCCTATTATGGAAAGAGAGAAACAAAAGATACGAGCATAATTAATCCTCTCCAAAGGCTGCATTCTTTGGGGGCAACCTCCTTCCATTAAGACAGAAGGAGAGCATGAATGGAGGGAAGTGGCTCAGGGAAGTGGAGGGAGCAGCATTTGGTAGTGAAACTTAAAAGAGTCAAAGGTGGTAACAGTGCCCATCAATGGCCCTGAGGGTGTGGACCCAACCGGGAGAAAATCACTTTCTCTAAGTCAATGACATTCCATGTCAACTCTGGACACAGTTCAGTTCCCTCTTGACTCAGCTGCCTCGTTTTTTGGCCAAAACTATGACATTTCTGCTTTGGTATCTGTTTCATATTTTCTTCCTTTTCTCTCTATTTAGTTAACAGCTCTTGGGAGGCAGGGGACTTCCGTGCAAAACCATGACTCACAAGATTTTGAAAACCGATTTTCAACTCAAGTGATACGCGGATATGCTAAAGGGGGCTCCCCGAGGGGCTGGAGGAGACACACTACCTGGAGAGCGGTTCACGCCATATCTGCACACCTCCGGTGATTTTGGTGATTATCATGTGGCTATAGAAGGACTCTTTGCCAGAAGGCTCTCCAGTAATTTCCAGTGTGTTCACTATGATTCTCACCCAAGGAGTCAAGTCCTCCCCTTGGTAGTATCACCTTACTAAATATTAGGCTTGCCGTGGTTTTTGTTTGGTTTGACTTGATTTTGTTTGGATTTTGGTCATCCTCGCTGTAACGGGACTCTGCAGGTACAATCAGTGCGTTTTTGTTTACAGCTCTTTCTGGTGAATGGATTACTTTGCAGGGAGTAAGGGGAGAAACTGCTCTCTTCTCTCTGGAGGCAGAAGAGATATCTGATCAAGGCGTTCCTACTGCTGTCTCGAAATAGGCTTTTCCAAAGGGCAAGGGCAAAGGAGTCGGGACACTCAAGTTCCAGGTTTCACTCAGCACAAACTCAACCTTGCAAATGACTTCAACAATCTGGGTCTTAGTTTTTTCCAAAAGTAAACTGAGGAGACAGCCTGTAAGTCTCTGTCATCACTTCTGCCTCTTAAGTCTCTATGTTCCCATGAGAAGCACAGGTTGGACTAACCCACAGATTACCTCAGCAGTAGCTTCTTTAAACCCAGGGAATGAGAGAACATTCACCCCTAGGCCTGATACAAAGATGTTCCCCCCAACCCCCGAGGTGCGTGACACCCTCTGGAGGGGCGTTTTGCCCACGGAGGCACTTTCCTGTGGTCAACAGTGCTACCTTCAGAGACCACGCCAGACAGTAACCAGCGAAACTGGGCTCCGGTCTCCCGTGGAGCCAGAGGGGAGAAAGCCTAGAGTAAGGATGCCCTCTAGAGACTCACTCTGGAGTGTTGACCCAGATGATGTCCAGGTGGCAGAAGTAGACACACTCTTTATCCATCAGGGAGGAACAGGAGCAGCGCTTGGACCGGCGGGGCCTCCAGGGTGTAACGGGAGCAAGCTTCTCCCCGCCGCTCTCTGCTCCCGCGCGGAGCTCGGTGCCCAGGACCGCTGGGGAGAGAGAGACAGCAGGTCAGAGGGAGGTAGGTGTCTGCTCCGAGGCCCGGAGGCACACGGGCCACGGCTTGGATGCCAGACCCAGCAGAGCAGGTAAAAGCAGATGAAGCACACCACCAGCCTCCAGCAAGGAACACAGAGGAGAGAGGATGATTTTTTTTTCCCCTCCTTAACATGACTTCACCTGTGTCGCCACTGGCTTAGCTGCCTTCAGAGAGATTAAACAAGCGCAGAGGAAACAGCTACCTAAAAAGGGACTTATCAGCCCCACGAAGGACGCAGCCTTCAAGGAAATACTTAGAAACACTGCTTATGAGACATTTAGGTTGGCTTCTACATGGAACCGAGTGCAGCCTACTGTGGCTTAAAATGGGCTGATGACCAAAACAACCTGCAACTAAGTAAGTCATACTGTCTTTCCCTAGACTCAGAGCCACTTCCCTCCACTCAGTACCCACCACTTCCCACCTTGTGTTAAGGCAGGGAGTAGCTCAGAAGAGAGGCACCTTCAGAACTTAGGTGGAAATCCAGAGCTTCGGGGAGGTGACTGGAAAGAGAGAAGTCAGCTGAATAGGCAAAACCCAGACTGAAGGGAGCACCAAGCAGCCGCTCTCAGAACCCAGATAAAGGTTCTGTGGGCTTTGGATTTTGACTCCCGGGAGCAGAAGGGCATGCGTGGGATCTACCAGCTCCCCCTTCCTCACGGCAGCCTTGCCTCCCCTTACTGACAAGTTAGCCCTGCAGCTTATCTGCCCAATTTTGTACATTTCAAATGATCAGACACATTCCAGGATTTTCATTCCCTTGACATCCTTTTCTCTTCAATCGGGGTCATGAAAAGACAAAAAAAGTGCACTGACCCTAGAAAGAGAGAAACGGGCAGATGCTCACACACCATCTAAATCCCTCGGTAGCCAAGATTTATTCTAGCTCCCCTCCCAGGACAGGTGAAGAACACTGGAAATGGAGCTCACACTGCTGTGAGCACCAAAAACCTGCCAAAAGAAACCCAAAGTCAATAATGACAAAGTTTAAAGAAAACATCTGCTTCGCCCTGAAACTGCCTGGAGGGTTTTTTTTCCCCAGACTGTTCTGCAGGTGATTTTAGTGTGCATACGCTGCTTGAATGACTTGAATAAATTCCTTGGCTTCAAGTTGAAAAGCATGAATGTTCTACACATTAACGTACTATTAAAACAGTATTTGAATAAGATATAAATACCTATATGTCCTTTTACCTGTATTAACAGAAAGATTGCAAACACACATTTAGCTAAATTACATCTTGTCTTTAAGTCATATTTTTCAAAACCAAGAAACACACTAGGCAATAATAATCATGTCACTTTAATGCTACAGGAGCAATGGTCTTCCATGGAGAATTCCTCCCCCCACTCCTAGAAAACTTCAGCAGCTCTGAGCACTAACTCCCCTGCACTTGATCTCTGAGCGGCAGTCATAAAACTCAGTGGGAGAAGCAGAAGCAAGAAAAGCATTAAGGTGGAAAAAAAAGACCGCAGCATTCAAGGATTTTACAAGTCGCCGTGCCTACCTGCTTCTGGAGCTCCTTGGAAAACCACAAACAGCAGAGCGAAAATCATGGGGAAATAATCCATTCTGGGAGGGGGGGGGGATTAAAGGAGGAGTTCAAAATCTTTCCCCCTGCAAACTAAACTCGAAGGAGAAAAAAAAAAGCGTAGAAAAAAAAAATCAGCTTCAGTTCTTTCCAAGCGCTTCGGGTTCTCCGGATCTCAAAATGGTACTTCGTCCTGATTGCTGTTTAACCGGGAGAAAAAAAAGTTTTTTCCCTGCAGAGAGGCAGAGCGAGCGGTCCCAGTACGCACGCGGCGGCGGCGGCGCGCGGACCCTGGAGGCGCCGGTCCCAGTGCGGAGGCAGGAGCGCGTCTGACCTGGACAGCTCTGGCCGGCTTTTTATATTGAACCCCTATAGAGTGGGGGTAAACAGCTCCGATTTTATTCCAGCCCCCAGACAATGTTATTGTGTCATTAGTCACCACCAGGCAACGTGCAGCCGGAGATAAGGCCGGGCTCTAGAGGAAATCACTGCTAACTTCAGAGGCAGACGCCGTCTGACAATTCAGGGGCAGGGCTAAGAAAAAGAAAATACCCATTAGAGAGAGACCTTTGGTAAACCTGCCCGTGCGGCGCGCAGCCGTCTGCTTCCCCTTTGCAAGCTGCCAGCCCCGGAGTTCAAGAATCAGAAGAGGGACTCCAGCAAAGTCATACCATTGGTATGAAAAGTATGAACTCCAGTTTAAATAGATTGTATTGTTGTGTGCGGGGGGAATTTTTTTTATTATTATTATTGTTCGCTTCACTTGCCTTTTATGTCTCTCTGATTCCTTAGTGCTGATCAGACCGGGGGACTCTCTCCCTCCATCCCCCCTCCCCACCGACTCGGGGTCAGTTTATCTTGGCAGATAGATCCATACACTTTTCTCTGACTTCTGACCCCCCTCCCCTCGAGTCTGCCGGGCTCGAGTTCTTTGCGTCCACAGTGGGAAAGATCGGAGAAGGATTGGCAAGGAAAGGAAGTGTTTTGTTTTTTTTTTTAAAGAATCCTTTTAGGCACATGCCCAATCCTTTCAGGATTGCTGATTAGAAACCCCCATGAACTTTTTATTTTTGTATCCACCCTCTTCGCTTCCCCGGATCCCCTCCACCTTGGAGGGGGTGGGGCACCAATCTTAAGAAATAGGCAGAGAGGAACGCCAGGGGGAGACGGAGAGCTGCAGGGGGGGAAGTTTTAGGACAAAAAGGCACAGCCTCTGCTTCCAAATAAGTAGCAGAAGGAAAGGCAGCCACCTGACGAAGGAGCTTAGGAAGGGAAGGGCTGACGCCTGACCCAGAGAGCAGCCTGCCCCTCGGAGTAGTCTACATACTCCCTACACAGGGACATGTTTTCCGGGTCTCTGTTTTCCTTTGGCTTTTGCTTGTGTGTCCAAGGGGTGTCCTGGTACAGGGTTAGGTGAACCAGCCATGCGGTCGTGTTGGGAAGGAGGAAGTGCCCTCACTGAATAAGGGATCAGATAATGCCTCACATTTAATAATAATGTGTTTATGTTTCCAAAGCGATTTCCTGTCTCTGCAGCCATGACATAGCCCCCGAGGTTCCCACAGGGCAGCTATCCGAGGAGGAGACAACCTGCTGTCCCGTGCAAAGCAAAACATGAAGACAAGACACTTGGCCTTTTCCATTAGCCTCATTTTTCAAGTGAGACAGCTGAGGTGCCCAGGATTTCCTGGCTTCCTCAAAGTCCTCCGTGCGGCTGAGTTAGGCCCTTGGGATAAATTTACAGCATCTTTCCTGCCCCAGAGAAAGACGTGTCTGTGTCTCACTCCTGGGGACACCATCAAATAGATGTTTATTCCATTTCCACACACCCACCCTTGGGGAGATTCGAACTTGGATTCATTTCTGATACTCAGGAGAATTCCACAGAGCCACCTCCTCCGCCTTCTCTGCTTCCTCTTTACTCTAGCATCACAAGGACAGAATTTTGTCCCCACACCTAAGCTGTGGACCTGGGCACACTGGTCTCCCTGGATCCCCTTGGAGGTCACAGCTGGGGGGACAGTGAGGAGCAGCATCAAATCCATAAGGAGGTCTGTCCCCTAAACCAGCCATCGAAGAGCTGAAGATGGGGGAAAGTCAGGAACCCTCCCTCCCCGCGCCCCCCCCCTAGGAGAGGCCTCCACCCAGGGGTCCCTGTCTGGACCCTCTGCCTCCCCCTCTGTGTGCTGACCTCTGCCCCGCCCTGGGGGCCAAGGAGGGCACAGCTCCCCTCGGACTGGCTGCCATGTGGCAGGGAGCCAGCTCTGGCCAGCATCTTCCAAATCTCCTCCCACCAGCAGGACCCAGAAGCGCAGAGAAGACCGGAGTCCCACTCACAGGATCCAAGCTTCCCCCAAGGAGGCAGAGGTGCCCTGGGCAATGTATCTCTGCAGGAAATGTGTCCCACCCCCATTCTTTTTTTTTTTTTTTTAACCTCCTGCAAAATTTAACAAAACACAGGCCACAGTTAGTACCTACCTGTTCTCCCCAGAAACTACTGCCCAGCCCCTCCCAGTCTCTCTGGGTCCAGCCTGGAATACCCTCTGGCAAAGAAGCTCATCTCTTAACCACACCCACTTTGGTGAGGTTGCCCCTGCAGGTGCCAGCAGCGCCCAGCAATCAGGTGGAAAAGTGAAGCAAAATGCACCTGCCCACACACCTTCCCACAGCCCGCCCTCCCCTCCTCAGCTGTGTCATTCAGTGAATTATTTAAATTATAAATACAAAATGGAGGCAGCAGCCTCTGCCCCCCTCCCAGCACCCCGACCTTCTGTTCAAGTCGATGCCTGGGGTTTCAGATCTGGGAGGGTCCCGTGGTTCCAAGACCCATCCAGCCCCCATCTCTTTGAGTCTGGAGTTTCCGGGATGCACACAGACAAGAATGGACGTGTGTGTGTGTGTGTGTGTCTGTGTTTCCATTTTTCTTCGTGCATCTTGGGGCAATGGCTGTGTCTGTCCTCCCGTCTTGCTTACTGGAGGAGGAAGTGGGAGCCCCGTCCAAGTGCAGAGAAGGCAGCTATCTGCAGGGCAGCTGCCGAACAAAACATTTTGCCAAGAAGCAAGAGCGGGAGGGAGGAAGAACCCCAACAAACCAGTTTTACAAGCTGGATGCTGCCACTGCTTCTCCCCACGAAGTCTGGCCGGGGAGGGGGAGGAGAGGAGAAGGGTAAAGTCACTGGACAAAGTAATAAAAGGGAGATCCCACCTCCCTGCCCCAGGCCCCAGGCTCACACCCAGCCCTCCAGAACCCAGCTCTTTGCAGCCACAATCCAGCTCAGAGAGGAAAGGGAAGGGAAGGGAGAGAAGAGGTCAACAAGATGGCTTTTCTCCCCCAATAGAATAGTTTTCTGTTGCTGTTCTTGCTTTTAACGTTACATTTGAACACTGGCAACTATTTGATAAAGCTATTTTGTGTGTGTGTTTCTTTCTGTATCTTTTGCTAATGTATTAATAGATAGCTATAAATAAAACACCCTGCTTCCCAAATACAGATGATACACAGTAGCGAAGGGTACTGTTTTTAGCACTCCTCAGCTTCGCTCTTTCTCAACTTTTGCGTAATAAAATTTGCAGCTTTGCCAAGCCAGTAAATTTGGGGTGAGACATGGCATTGAGCTCAGCAAAAAAAAGAACGGCCCTTAGGTTGCTGGGAGAGCGCACGAGGAGTAGGGAGCTGGTTTTGTGTGGGCTCGTCGAAGCTGTCCAGGCCACCAGTTCAGTCATGTATTGTTGACTGTTTTAAGTTCCTACTTTGCATAGCACTGTTTTGAAAGACTGTGCACTGCAGGCGTTACCCTGTGACATATTATAACCTCCAGGAGTCATGAACAAACAGCCTCTCCTTCTGTCAAGATCTAGTGGTATTTAGCACCGGAAACAGGATGGTGCTCCAGAGAGCTTCATCCTATGCATCTGAAAACATAGAACGTAAGAGCCCATTGATATGGTAGATGAATGCATAAAGGTGTGGTGTATAGATATACATACACATTTCCACGTGTATATAATGGAATACTACTCAGCCATAAAAGGAAACATGGCTAGAATGAGAGGGTATTATGCTCCTTGAAATAAGTCAGACAGAGAAAGAAAATGCCATATGATTTTTCTTACATGTGAAATCTTAAAAACAACAACAAAAATAACAAAACCAAAACAGACCCATGGATACAGAGACCAAGCTGGTGGTTGCCAGAGGGGAGGGAGGAGAGTGTAATAGGTGAGGGAGATTGAGAGGGACAGACTTCCACTTGTGGAATCAATAGACCATGGGGATTTAATGTATGGCACAGGGAATATGGATAATAATAACTTTGATAATGACTTTGTATGCTGACAGATGGTAATTCGACTCATCATGGTGATCATTTTGTAATGCATAAGAATATCAAATCACTATGCCGTACATCTGAAGCTAATATAATATTGTAATACAGGTATTTGAAATGTAATATCTACAAAACAGAAACAGCGTCACAGACCCAGAGAATGAACTTCTGGTTACCAGGTGGGAAGGATGGGGGAAAGGGATGTTAGGGAATTTGGGAGTGACATGTAGACACTGCTATATTTAAAATGGATAATCAACAAGGACCTACTATATAGCATAGGGGATTCTGCTCAATGTAAAAAAGAAAAATAAGTTTCCTGTAAAATGGTGGTTTTCAGGAGTTGGAGGTGAGGTGGATGAGGGAAATGGAAGTCATGTTGGTCAAAGGATATAAACTTAGAAAATGAGTAAGATCTGAGGATGTAGTGTGTAACCTGGTGATTATAGTCAACAATATTGTGTTCTATGGCTGAAAGTTTCTAACAGAGTAGATCTCAAGTGTTTTCACCACAAAAATAGAATGGTAATATGTGATGTAATGAAGGTGCTAGCTAACACTACGGTGGTAATAATGTGCAACATATAAATGTATCAAATCAACACACCATACCCCTTAAACTTACACAGCCTTATGTGTCAACCATGTCTCTATTTGAAAAAAGTTTCTTTTGCACCTCATATGAAATGGCAAAAAAATAAACCAAAGGTCC